TTGTTTCGTTTACTGGAGCGTTTCATCGACAGTTCGTTTTATCGAAAGGTTCTCATGTCTGTTTCATCGACACACCTTGCGACGTTTCGTCGAAAGCGTCTATCCGTGCGCATCGATCGCCTATGTCGTCCTCATCTGCATAGGCCTTGCTTGCCGAACCCTTGGCGGTTTCGATGAGGACTGCAAGATCATGTCTGAAATTATATTAGAGTTTCCTCGGGCAGAGTGCGGGGTTTCCTCGCGTAGCGTGAGTAGTTTGGAAGCCCCGGATGGCTCGCAAATTTACTTTTTCCGTATCGGAGCCGCTTGAGTGAGTTCGTATAGTTCCGGTATCCTTCCAGCGAACCAAATGAAGCCAGTAATTCGATGAAAAATATGTTCTCAACGAAGCGTCGCAGTTGCATCTGTTGCACAAAAAAAGTTTTCACGAAACATCCTAGCGTCGATGAAACGTATGTCCATGAAATATGTCGATGAAACGTGTGTCCATAAAAGTTGTCCATGAAACGTGTTTCGACGAAACGACATGGACCCCTGTCGAGCGCACGCGTTAGTGCAATGAAAGAGTATTTGAAGGCCGCATGCTCGCGCGTGTAATTTCCGCTTCGCTCGTACTTATCTTGAAACAGGGCTTACCCTTTGCATATGTGCAGTGCCGACCACTTGGGGGATCGGTGGCCGAGTGGGCTAGCGCACACCAGCTCAGAGCAGGTGGAGCGAAAGCTCGCGCTGCAGAACCCAGGATACTGGGTTCAATCCCCGCCCCTGCCCGTTTCGATCTGGGTCAGCATCGTAAAGGCGTGCGGTCGTGTATCACTACTGCGTGATGCACGTTAAAGACCCCAGGCTAGCAGTTGTACCGCGCTGGCTAAATTGCTCATCTACAGCTGGGAGACTCGTCGCTCGTCGAGAAAGAACAAGTTCTAGGCTGTATAAATAAACACAACCCAATTTTTTTTTTTGCCGACCACTTTTCACGTGACTACACGCTTGTTTATCAATACTGATTTGGTTTATAGTTTGCACTGCGATTCAGCTCGGATTAAAGAGAAACCTACGCTACTTGCCACGTGTGCCACAATCAACACAGAATGTTCACATGCGAACGCCCGCGTGAGTAAACGTTGTTGTCTGTCAAAGAACAAATAAGACGGTGTAAAATCACGTGGCGAAAGTTCTCTATCAGCGCGCGCTTTGTGGCGAGCTCTTGGCCGAGAAGATCGTCAGCCGGCAGCACGTGGATTTTTTTCAGCAACCCAGAGTAAAGACTGGTTCACACATCTGCGTCGGTTGCGTTCGCGTGCAACCGAAACGACCGTAACGACAAAGTCACCGTGACAAGTGTTCCCCGTACACAACATGGCGAGCGATGCAAGTAGTAGCTTTGCGAAGCGATTCATGAGTCAGGGTTGTTGCGGTGTTTTGGTCGTTATGGTTGTTTCAGTTGTATGCGAACGCAACCGTTGCAAATGTGTGAGCCAGCCTTTAGAGTGCTCTCACTTGTTCGATTGCAAGCAGTCAGGAGACTCAGCTTACCACGCCTGAATGTAATAACGTACTATACTCCGTTTCACCTTATGTTGTACCCACGGTGGTTGTACCGTATACGGGCTCATAGCATTTGCAGCTGCCCTTAATGCGCGAGAGCTTGTGCCGACGAGATGTGCCCTGAGCTAGGAGCTCGCGCTTGTAGTCTTTCCTGCGGTACATCATAAGGTGAAACTACTCCCTCTAGAACACTGTATTGAAACAGAGTATAGAGAGTATTCAGTGGCGGCCACAGCTGTCTGCGCGAATGCTGAGCGCGTGCTGATGGCGAGCTCCCAGAGTTCTTCTGCAACGTGCATCCCGCACCATCAAGAGTGCCGGTCTTAGTAGCTTATTGATGTGAGCTGGTTCTGAGCATGCGCTCCAAACAGCACCCACAAACATGGCGTCCGGTGAATACTCCCTATAGGAACATGCAAACATTACAGCCTGAGCATTACTATGTGTAGAAGCTTTAGGTTTCAATGCGCTCAAGAGTGTAAAATGTAGCGCTTTTCCAGCCTTCATCACCACGAGCGATACGCGTACGTATACAATCTTTGACAAAACGTCATACTCCACCCACTGCATACTTTTACTATTTTTTGCACACCACTATTTGGTACGCACAAATCGCCAATTTAATCTTGCTATATTGCCTAAATTCCTTTATACTTATTCATAAAATGAAAATCATTGACAGGCTGTAATAATTTCAACTGTCCCTGCACTCAGTGCTCAGCGTAATTTTAATAATTTAATGGTATGAGTAATCCTTTAATATCACTCTTGCTATGTTGTAAGCATAAAGCAGGGTTCACACTGCTTATAAGTCATACGAAAGACAGTCTGCGTACAGATTCGAACGCGAGTCCCCGCGAGATCCGCGCTTCGAATGCCGCATTGAAATGAGTTCAAGGAGAAACTTGGCACGCGGCATTCGAACCATAGACATTTCGGTGATTAGTGTCTGCACACTTTCTGTTGTTGTGACCTCGGCGTAAGACTTTTGTGACAGTCCTACTTTATTACCAAATTGAATATCTACAACAGCTGAGGCTCATTTTTCTGTGTTTTCAAGTCTCACGGTCAAAATCAAAAATCGCGATAACCTAAAATAAGACACCTGACAAAAAAAAAAGTTCCTTCGTTTTTATTTTTCGGGTATTTAATTCCTCAAGCTAGAATTTGGAATGCCCACGCTTATTACGTCATCACTTTTTTTGTGGTAATCTATAAAACAATAAATTCGTGCACGACAAAACAGTCGACCTGTCATACGTATCTGACCAGGTGGAAGCATGTGCAATTGACCTCCGAGATCCCCGGGGTGACAAATGCGCACCGCCAATCTAAATATTTCGACGCGTCGGTTCTATTGGCGTGTATGTGCCTGACTAGTGCCACTAAATAAGCTACGCTTCAGAGTAACGACACTTGTTCATATTGTGACTTAAAATCATGGTTGCCAGTTATCGGAAGATTTATCTGAAATCCCAGGAAACGCTTTTCCGCCCTCCACAAATGTTTGAACAGTTCGCGACAGAGCAAAGCAATATTATTTGATCTTCCTAACACCGAATCTAATGCTGAGGAAGTCGCACTTTTGAATCATGACGATCGCCACTTGCGTCTACTCTGCACATGCACCAAAATGTCGGCACCCATAACAATGTTGGAGAACAGAGTGCCGATACTCTAAGCGCAGCTCATTTAGTGGCTCCATGCCTGACCATTAGCTCAGGACGATTTTCTCGTTTTGTTCTGACCAGATTTGGCGGAGACGCGAGCTTATGCGTAGGCAACCTAGGCAACCGCTCCCTTTGCATGAGAACTGGCGCAGCTGGACAAGGTTCTACAGAAAGCTCGCGCATCGAAAAACAAGTGAACGGCGAGGGTTCTCAATTTCGGGAGGAAGAAAAATACCACACTGTATCAAAGCGCCACCACACTCGATTTATTGCGTTCATGCACAGGTATAGAAGGCGTTCCCATCGCCATCTGTTGGTTTTTCAGATCTTTGTTGATAGGGTATTACATACGACATTATGGGGTATAGAGCATATGGGTGCGTATGATTTTTTGTTTTTTTCTCGGTATAGATAGTTTAAGCCGGTGGTTCTCAACCATCGATGTTTCGCGTACCCCTTGTGGATCGGCGGAGATGAGGGAGAACCCCGTTCGTGGTGAGGGAAAGGGAAAGGTATACGTTAAATGTAATAATTATTGAATAAATCGATATAGCTAACGGCTAGTGGGAAGTATACTTCGCTCATTAACAAGCACACAAGAAAACTCATCCGAAAACTGAAACATTTCTTTTCGACGTGAGAAAAGACGACTTTTATTGCCAGGCTTGACTGATGAGGCAGGGCTTCGCGGATTCCTAGAATGCCTTCGCGGACCCTCATTTGAGAGCCACTGTTTTAAGCAATGAGTCTTATTTACGAGAAGACTTGACGTCGTAGTAAAGACAAAGAAAAGGCAATCTTCTTTTGATATTACATAGGTTTAATTTATTCGCCACCGCAAAGACAATATTCGTAGGCTTTTCGAACAGATGATTACCTTAATATCGCACCTGAATACAAAGGCTGAAAAGACATAAAATACACCTCGTAAAATGTCTAGCTTTGTCGAACGACTCGGCGATGCCAGCTACAAGCTCCCCAACAGTAATATATCACTGCGCGCGAGCAAGTGTCATTATAACGTTGAAGGTTTCGAAACGACAGAGTCGTGCGACAAGCTTTACTGATTGGTTTGGTTCAGAATACGGCCATGATTTTTTAATCTCTTCGCAATCTGCCAAGTGTGAAAAATGGTCCACTCAAACGCTTGATTGCGTATCAATTGAAGCAAAATGAAATGCTCATTTAAATATAATCAACGCAGGACGGCATATCAAAGATTTATTGCCGCATTTTTTTCAGAGTAAAACGTATCACTTCACACGACACTCGTTATAAAATCATAGTGCTCGGCACAAATTATTGAATTAAAAAAAAATCAATATCCATAAATTGGAACGCGTCTTTCAAATCAAGCGTACGCAACCCGAGCTTCTCGAAAATTTATTTCCTAATTGCCTGTTTAAAAAGATGTCACCTTCTTCGAAGTGAAATGAAATAAAATTACGGCAGCCCACAACCATTGTTGAGCGTTGTCAGTGAGGAGTTTCCAAGATGCCATAACTCTTACCCAACTCCCGAGACCCCGTGAATTGCCAACTTCGCCCAATCACGCCGTGTTCCAAATAAAATAGGCAGTTAGCCGACACAATAACCCATCTGCTTTCATTTCTCGAGAATAAAAAAGGCAACAACGAAATATCTAAGTTTATTGTCTGAAAAGGGGAAAAAAAAGTGTAACACAGGGGCCAATCACGGCATCAGGTTGGTGGTTGGCAACTGTGATCACGTGGAGTTAACTGAACATAAAAGGAAGCTCAGAAATCATACAAGCCCATCGTACATCGACGTCCTCGCATACACCTTGCATCTTCTCACTCAGAACAATGACGACAACGGCGCTGCTTTTCGCCCTTTGTTTGTTGGGACTGGCTGCCGCGCAAGGAGGCTTTGACTACGATTCCCCAGGCGAGTACATGCCAACTCTCTAGGAAATCTAGGGAACGAATCTAGGGAATTGGCTTTTTGTATGGAAAGAGAGCAATAATGGTGTCCTTTATATGGTCACTGAGAGCTTTAGGAACGCAGGGCGTGCACAGTCCAGTGTATCTCATTACCGCTCTGCCACCAATCAGATAACGGCGTTAGCCAACGAAAACGGAAACGAACCAATCACAAAGCGAGAATCATTAACGTAATGAGCCACGCACCCAGCGTTTCTTAAGCTGCCGCGGGGACTAGAGCCACTATATGAGCTGCGCTTAGAGTATCGGCACTCCGTTCCCCGACATTGTTGTGGGCGCCGCCATATTGGGGCTTGTGCAGAGCATACGCAACTGCAGATCGTCATGATTCAAAAGTGCGACTTCCTCAGCATTCGATTCGGTGTTAGGAAGTTCATGTAATATTGCTTTTTTCTGTCGCGGTCTGTTTAAACATTTGTGGAGGACGGAAAAGCGTTTCCTCTGATTTCAGATAAAGCTTCAGATAACTGGCAACCATAATTTTAAGCCACAATATGGCCGAGTGTCGTTACTCTGAAGCGTAGCTTATTTAGTGGCACTAGCGGGGACTATGCGGAGAGCACGTCGTCTGCTTCTTGCTCAGGAGTTGCCGTGACGTCAGAACGACACCGAGCTCTTATTGGCTGATTGATAAAATAGCGGATAGACCTTAATGCTAAAAGCCTTGAGGTCTACCCACTGTTTTTTTTTTCAATCAGCCAATAAGAAGTCGGCGTTGTTCTGACGTCACCGCCACTCCTTCGCAATAAGCAGACGACTTGCTCTTCGCATATGGCCTTCTTAATTTTTTACTGACTCCGTAAGAGTCGCGGAGTGCGGTGACATTTTTATTAGAACCTAACCTCGTGTTTTGGTCTCCAGAAAACAAATCCATTAAAACAGTCACAAACAAAAAAACAAAAAATGAGCTATTTGTACGAATTTTTTCGCTTGACATCTAACGGTGCTGGCTTCAACGAGCACGCCATGCACACGCGCGCCCATGAAGTGAAAGTGTCGTTCAAGAACACACGTTCGTGCTTTCAATATCGGCTTTTGTCGATACTGGCGCCAGTAAATAAGTGACGCATTAGAGTAACGGCATGATTAAGTCATCTTGTTTTTTAGAAATCTTTGTTACCAGTTATGTGAAACTTTCTCCTATATCTGACAGAAAACGCACTTCTGTCCCCCATAAATGCTAAACCAGTCCCCGACAGAGCGAAACGATATCGCCTGGAGCTTCCTCTCACCGTCTCTACGAAGCTGTGAAAGTAGCATTTTCAAGTCTTGAAGTATGTCAACTGCGCCCTCTCTGCACAAAGCACCAAGCTAGAAGCGTCCACAAGAAAATCCGCAAATAGAGGGCCGATAAACTTAGCTTACTCACTTGCTTCATGTGGAATCCATGGCGAAACGGGTTGCACGTGACGCAGTGATTGGGGGGTCGTAACAAAAGTTTTGTTTTTGTCCCGAACATGGGAGCGCGACCGCGCCGACCTTATTTTGAGCCACGTTCGAAATCTCAACGGTCAAACAGGGTCAAACTTATTTTTATCGGCAGAAGAAAATCCCGACGACAACCCAGTCATTGATATCTCCTCGGAAGAAATCACCACCAGCTTTCCGGAAACTACACCTGCAGGAGTGGGAAGCCAAGTAAGTAACGGACACGTACCAAAGCAGAATGGTAGTGTATGCAAGTTCACAGTCCGCCATTACACAGTGCGAGTGTAGCAGTAGCTACAAGATCAAAATGCAGGTTTTCAGCGTCCCTTCCAAGCACACGCTCTCTTCAAAGCATCGTTTCGGGACAATACGCAGCTTGGAGTTGGCTCGCACATAAAGTGAAACGAGCTCTACGGTTATACTTCGTTTCAGCTTCGGTCCGAGCGCGGCCGATGTTATGAGCCAAAGGGTCAATCAAACACCGCAAAAAGCGCAGCGTAATGGTGGGCTTTCTGCGCTTGATAAGACTAGCCGGCGGAGGAGCACGCATAGAGAGACGGCGAATACCGGCTGGTCCTATCAACTGCAGAGAGCACGTTATGACGTTGTGCCTCTTTCGCTGTTTGATTGGCCCTTCGGCTTATAACATCGGCCGCGCTCGGTCCGAAGCTGAAACGAAGTATAGAAAATGGGTGAAAGGAGGAGAAGAGAGCATGCGCCGGCGTCAGAACGCCGATCACTGGTTGGAGCGATTAGTGGGTAGACCTAAAGCTAGCCGCCTTTGTTTCCACTGCATACATCGAACGAGGTCGAACGCGGAACACCGGCGTCCGGCGTTTGGTTATCGCATTCGAACGCGTCCGACAAGTGCAGTGGAGACAAAGGCAGTTAGCTTTAGGTTTACCCATTAATCGTTCAAACCAGAGCTGGGCGTTCTGAGGACTCCGCGCGTTCTCGTCTGCTCCTCTTCTGTCTCAGTTTTTCGGCGCATAGCGTTGTATTTCGTTTGTCGGAGCATCGGACCAGTGCTATTAAACTATTTGCTTCAGAGTACCTGAAAGAAGCGCATGGCGTCTCTTGTGGATGCCAAACCTCCATCACGGTACTGATGGTTTCCCGTCGCGTTTCCGTTGCACGAACGAGCGAGCGATTAAGAAACCAACACTGTATGTTCTATTTTACCTTCCCAAAACTCATTCTTTTTTTACTCTCAGCACTGTCAGTTAAACTAGAAAAGCTGATTGCTTATGCGATCCAAAGGATATCTATAGCAGTACTACTTGACCGCAAAGACGTCATTTTTAACAGAGTTTGGAGTCTTAGCGGGAGGAAGGTTTGCAACAAAATGCACACGACATGTGTGCCAACAATGTTTTTTTAATGTCCATCTAGTTGGATTGGGTTGCGGAGGTGAATGTATACAATACCGTGGCGCGCAATGAGAGCGTCAGCCTTTTTACTGTAAACAATGTCGTGCGCCGAATCTCCCAGAAAGCATGCGCAAAGCCCATTCGCTGCAATCTAGGTAGGAAGCTCCACGAATGACAAGCTATAAAAAAAGTATTAGTACAAATATCCAATCTGCGCATCGACACAGAGCATCATGTGTTGTACGCTTACGCCGTGCTCAGTGTGAAAGCACATTCTTTTCCTTTTTTTTGCTTAAACGTATTTCCAGCCTCATCATTCGCATATCGGGCTCTGTAGATGGCAGCAATTGGTTGTCTCGAGTGCTTTGTGTGAAAGTAGACGCACCAGATTTTTCTTTTAGGAGAATCGCTGCGCGCTCTTGGTACCACTTAGGTTCGGCCAGGATATTTAAAGGGTATCTGCAAAGAAAAAAATGTGTTTTTTTAAACAGCCTATATCGGACAAGCATGTCACAAAACCAATGTTCCGAGAAAAAACACATTTTTGCTAGTAATATTTACGCCGCAGGACGTAATTTAGTCGGAGTGACAACTTTTCCGCCTTTGAAACTCCCACTCTTTCGACGCGCGCGGAGTAGCTGTTATACGTCACTTCGTGACGTATAGCAGCCACTACGTGACGTATAATACCAACATTGTGGCGCGCAATTTAAAACGGACGAAATAGCCGCAAACTAAAATCAGTCTCGCGCAATAAATATTGCTGTAAAAGTTTGTTTTTGGTGGAAAAATTGTTTTGTGACATGCTTGTCCCAATTAGGCTGTTTAGAAATACACTTTGTTTTCTTTGCAGTTACCCTTTAACACCTTGAAGCAGACGGATGGCGAAAAAGAACACAATGCTCATTGATTATATTGTCTCGGATAAAAATGATAGGTAAACTTAAAACCAAAAATAAAAATTTAATCGGCCAACCTGTGCCAGAAACAGAAGAACGAGCGAGCGCCGAGGAAACAGCGACGAGCATCGCAGTGTCGGCGTTACAGCTGGCGGGCACGAGAGTGTCGGACTCGACAAGGCCACGAAGGTCCCTTGTCTGCCACGCTCGGCATCTCGAACATTGAGCCCAGAAAGAAGATAATTTCTAACTGCCGTGTTTTCGCCTATGTCGTTTCCAGATCCTCAGACAACATAAGGCCCTGATAAATAAGATACAGACGATGATTCAGAATGGCAAGGATAGTGAACGGAATCTGACATCTCTGCGACGCGTCGTCGCTAGAAAGATGCGGAGAGAGACCAACCAAAACAAGCGGAAGCAGCTCCAAAGTCGAATGAAAGAGCTCACGCGCCTCATTACTAACCTTCGCGACAGGTATGTTTTGTTTTTGTCTAACTTGTTTTTTCTCATGAAACGGGTGTAAAAACGCCTAGTGTGTGTGTGTGTGAGGGGGGGGGGGGAGGAGGGAATCGGTGGCCGAGCTTGTCGGTGCACCGCAGCTCGGAGCTCATGGGGCAAGAGCTGCGCTGCAGAACCCAGGGGTCGACCAGTGATGACGTCAAGCGTGGGCCTCGTCAGTGCATGGTACAGCACTGGCAAACTGTCGTCTGCAGCAGAGATACCTGGCGCCCATTGTGGATGACCAACTTCCTGCTGTCTAAAGAAACACACGACACCAATCACCTCCTTGACAAGAAGGCCGTAGTGCTAGCTTTCTTGACGTCGCATATTGGAGGCCAACGCGAGATATAAATAGACCCCTTCCAAAATTCAGTCTGGCAACTTTGATCACGATCATCATTATGGTAGGCTAGGTGGCGCAGCCTGCCGCCCGTTACAAAGGCCATTACCATTCATCCATCCATCCATCTATCCATCCTGTGGTGCGACATCTGTGCCGTACTGATGGCGGCTTTCTATACTCCGTTTCACCTTATGTTGTACCGTAGCAAAGGCTAGAAACGCGAGCTCATAGCGTTGGCAGATGCCCTTAATGCACGAGAGCTTGTGCCGCCGAGATGCGTCCTAGAGCAAGAAGCTCGCGCTTGTAGCCTTCCCTGCGTTACATCATAAGGTGAAATAGAGTATAGTGACTGATAAACAAAGCCGTTGAAGATGCTCCTAAGTGAATGAGGCGAGGCCTGTACCGCCTTTACATTCGGGGGGTTAGTACGACGCGACGTAGGAATGGACCTCAAGAACTACGGAAGCGTTCATTCCTAACTCAGATTCAATCAATCTGTGCGCGACACACAATCGGCTTTAAAGCCCTTTGGTGCATCAAATTTTATTGAGGCGTCTGTATGGGTTGGTGCTTTGTTCTCATTGTAGAGATAAAGAAAGAGTTCACATTTAACCATTTCTCGCATGACGTTGACTTGCGGAAGTAACGGTGCCCGATAAAATACAAGTTCATTACCATCATTGGTATGGCAAAAACCTAAACTGCTATACCAGCCACCAGATGGCGCTGAATTTCAGAAAGGGTAAGGTTTTTTAAGGGGACCGAGGGCCCTGGGGGCACTGATGTAACTGAAAAGCCAACAAAGTCAGGAGAGGCACCCAGGGTTAAAAAGAGGAGAAAACGTAAGAACAGGTATAAACAAACAGCACAATCAGACATTGGATATATTAACATGCAGGGTGGTAGAAATAGGTTAAAATGGGAAGAGGTAGAGCAGCAACTAAGAAAGGAGGATTTAATGGTGTATGGGTTTGTGGAAACACATCTCAGAGACATGGAGCAGCCACCTTGCAACCCTGACTATGTGTGGGAAGAATGCAACAGAATGGAGGGAACGAGGAAGGGAGGTGGAATTGGAGCATTTATTAAGAAGAATATGAACTTTCAAAGGATCAGAAAGGAGTGCGCCGAACATTTGTGGCTGAAAGGAAAAGTTGCTGGGGATTCAACAGTCCTTGGAGTTGTTTACTTATGGACAGGGACAGGTTCTAAAGAGGAAAACAGAAAAATGATTGATTGCATATCAAGAGACATTAGTGAACTAGGGGAAGGCTCCGAAATAATTATTATGGGAGACATGAATGCCCATATTGAGGGTCTGGATGGGTATACGGACTTAACTGGAAGCATATTACTAGAACTGGTGGAAAAACATGAAGTGTCACGGGCACATAACTTGGGAAACTGGCAATCTACATTCAACTATAGATTACGTACTCATGTCACACAAAATATATGGTAAGTTACAAGCAATGAAAATAGATGAAGAAGGTTCCAAAAGTTTTGGTAGTGATCACAAACGTATTAAGCTGAATTTTGCCAGAGAAGTAAATGCTGAAACTATAGAACATAAATCAAAGCAAACTTTCTGCAGCGACAAAGAGTCGGAAATAGTTGTTGAAAGAATAGAGGCAGCAGTTTCAGGGAAACGGTATACAGATTGGACCTATGAGAGCCTAACTAGGCTTTTTGCTCTGGAACTAGACAAAGTTTAGAGTAAACGAAAGGGGAAGCAAGGACATAGACCAAAAAGCTGGTGGGACAAAGAAGTGAAGCAAGCGATACAAAAACGTCAGGAAGCCTCTAGAGAACACAGGTATTCCAAGCGTAGTGGGGAGTCCGAAACGGAAGTAAAAAGAAAATGGGACAATTTTATAACATGTCACCAAGAGGCATCCAGTTTGATCAATGCGAAAATTCAGAGAAAGGGTGAGGAATGGATGAGTAATGTAAGTAAGAAAGATAGAAACGCTGCCAAGAAGTTTTGGGAGCACTTGAACTCACTCGGTGAAACGACGCAAGCTAGACAGAGATTCATACTCTCGCATCAGGGAGATCAATTAGAGGGAGATGATGCGATACAATATATAGGAGCAGTGATGGAGGAGAAATTTCGAGAACGGGTGCATGTGGAAGATAGGAGAACCGAAGGAAGTAGCAGTCCAGTTTGTGACATCGCGGATATTGGACAAAGAGAATGGGAAAAGGCAGAACGAAGAGTCCCTAGTGGCACGTCGACAGGCACAGATGGTATCCCAATCAAGCTGGTGAAGAATTTGGGTCCTAAATCTTAGGCAAAACTAAGGGAGGTAGTGGGTACCATGATAACAAAAGGAAATATTCCAGATGAATAGAGGCTTAGTAGTATGAGTATGATAAAAGAGAAAGGGAGATAAGTCTGATATTAGGAATTATCGTCCCATAACCGTGACACCGGTTATTTACAGGTTGGTAATGCAGATTATAAAGAACAAACTGGAGGAATGGGTAGATTGCGAGGGCATACTGGGCGAGTTACAGGACGGGTTTCGGAAACAAAGAAGGTTGGAGGACAATTTATTTTCTCTGACACAGAGTATAGAAATAGCGCAAAAAGAAAACAGACAGCTCTGGCTGGCATTTCTGGATATCAAGGGTGCCTGTGACAATGTGAACCAAAGGAACCTGTGGGACATAATGGAGAGCTTAAACCTAGATGAAGGACTAACAGCACTATTGAGGAACATTTACAACGATAACAAGGTGATTATAACATGGGAAGGAAAGGCGACAGGGAAAATAGAGATAAGACGAGGCCTTAGGCAGGGGTGCCCGTTATCGCCTTTGCTGTTTATGTTGTATTTGAGAGGATTGGAGGATAGACTAGAGAAGAGTGGGCTTGGATTCAACCTTTCTTACAGTAAGCTAGGCCAAAAAATTCAGCAATCCTTACGGGGATTGATGTATACGCGGATGATATCGTACTAATGGCTAACAACAGGACAGAGTTGCAGGAATTAATGAGCATCTGTGGTAGGGAAGGAGAGGAATTAGGTTTAGAATTCAGTAGCGAAAAATCAGCAGTCATGATTTTTAACGATGATGAAGTTGAGAGGCTGAACATACTGAATATTACAGTTGAGAGAGCTAGTAAATACAAGTATCTAGGAGTATGGATATGTGATGGTGCAGAATATCTCAGTGAGCATGAAAAGTATATAATAGGTAAGGGCAACAGAAATGCAGCTGCAATGAAAAATAGAGCACTTTGGAATTACAACAGGTATGAGGTGGTGAGAGAGATTTGTAAAGGGGTCATGGTGCCTGGCTTGACTTTTGGAAACGCAGTGCTTTGCATGAAATCCGAAGTGCATGCGAGACTAGAAATAAAACAGCGGGGAGTAGGTAGACTGGCTTTGGGGGCACATTGCGAAACGCTAAACCAGGGAGTACAAGGAGACATGGGATGGGCGTCATTTGAAAGCAGGGAAGCGGTGAGCAAGATAGAATTTGAGGATAGGTTGAGGCAAATGGATGGGGAGCAATGGGCACGAAAGGTTTTGAGCTATTTATACATGAGGAGTGTAGACACAAAGTGGAGACAGCTCACTAGGAAATTAAGAGGAAAGTTTTTGGGCTATAGCGAAGATACGGAATAGCAAGTCTCAGTTAAGAAGAAAGTTAAGGCCACAGAAAGAGATCGGTGGCTAGAGGGAATGCAGACAAAGACGGCTCTGGAAAGCTATAGATTAAACAAAACAGTTATTGCCAAAAAAAGCATTTATGACAATTCTAGGGGAAGCTCATTGTTGTTTGAGGCGAGGTCGGGTGTTCTGCGAACCAGAACATACAGAGTGAAGTACCAGGAAATGGATCGTGTGCACTGCTTGTGGAGAGGAGGACGAGACGGCTGAGCACTTGATAATCTACTGTAAAGGGCTTCACCCTATGCCTACCGAAGACAAAATAGATTTAATAAAGTCATTGGGTTTTAGAGACAGCGAAGGGAGAGTGGATTTCAAGACTGTAGAGATCACCAAGCAAAGATTAAGCGAATGGTGGCAGAAATCGAGAGAAAACTAGGTATTTTCTTTTTCACTGATGGCAAGGGGTTTCATAGCCTCACTTTCTTTGCACTGCGGAGTGAATATAGATTTCACATTTAAATATTCTAAGCTTAAATGGTAAAACAAAATGGCTAGGTGGCGTAAGCTACCACCCGATCCAAAGGGCTCAGCCGTATTCATCCATCCATCCATCCATCCGTCAATGGAACACGAGCAAGCAACGAGCACTCGTGTTCAATCTGTGTTTCGTGCGCGAGCCCGGGTGGGTGGCGTCAAAAACCTAGCACTACAGACCTTTCTAATGTTGACGAAAGCACAGTCCAGCGTGCGATATTCACAGCCCAGCAGGTACGTGCTCGTCGCTTCGGAAAGCGAGCAAAGCATGCGCCATACGCACGAACACTCAAAATGACACCGTCCACACGCTCGTTTTTGGAAAAGTCTATACCGCCCTGTCATCCAGAAGGCGTTAGGTGTGTACATTGTACAGTATATCAAAAACTACCCGAGGAAAGGAGCATCTTTTCCGTTAAAGAAGCGCAATTTTTTTCGATTAAAAAAGAAGCCTATGTGCACTCCTAATCAAAAGACGCCATAAAATGAATTTTGGGTTGGGAAAATGATTTTGTATTGGGGTGTTACTAATCTCGAATCGCTTAGTGAGACAAAATAAAGAGGGCAGAAAGTCAAAAGCGTGCTTTTCTGTACGAAAATGTTAAATTATAGCCGTCTATTTCGTACCTCCTTTCCCTCCGAAAGTTCTCCGGCTTTGCACTGTGATGCATCCGCAGTACCCAAAGCGCGTCAGCCGAACTTAGCTGATGCGTTGGGCACGAACACTGCATCACTCGGACGTATATGCGCTCGTCAACAATCCATCCGTCGACGAATATTTGGTCGCGTTCGGGGCGAATGAGTGCCTTGTCGGCACTCATCATCACTCGCGAACGACAAGTTCCACGGTGTGCTTAAAACACGGTGGTGGACTCTTGGAGTCCATCGCATTTTGGCGAAATACTACGTTACGGCCACGCAATTTCTCATTTCGCTTTTGAGTTGCGGAGTAAAGCTAATGAGAAAGAAGTTAAAAAATCATTTCATGGACCCTTTAACTTAGCAAGGAGAGGGTTAATTCTATATCGGGAAACATTGTTGCTGAAATCACCGTACGCACACTGTCGTTGAAATGCAATAACAATTGGCACCGTCTTGTACAGGCGTGAACGTTTCTTCGTTAAACTGCTTAGAAGCTGGAGTATTTTTACAGGAGTATTCTTTTTCAACGTCAATAAAGTTTTTAGTCACTAATAACTTAATTACCGGGCGAGAGCATGGCAGTTTTATGACGTCATCAGGCAGATGTTTACGGACCACGCTTTATGACTTGGTCAACGTACCGGTCGCAAACGCGCTTCAGGCATTAGAACTATAGTGAAGGACAGACTTCGTCAGAAGTTCATTCCGCCGAGAGCTCCCCTTCACATCCTTGGGTATTTTTTTTTTCACGCAGGAACACCAAGGCGCAAAGGGAGCTCAACAAATTCTTGTCCAAGGTGAACTCGGGCCAAATCACGAGCACGAGGGAGGCGTACAAAATTCTTAAGAGTATCTACCAAAAGCAGGTGGTTCCTGTGAACAACCTAGCTCACAAGGCGAAGATTCTCACATGGAAGATTACCAAATTTATCAAGAAAATAGTTAAAAACATAGGAGGAATAGTGAGTAACATTTTTGGTGCAATCGGAGCTGCTACAGACAACCCTTGAGCCAGCTGTCTCCAGTAGCTGCTGCGGAACCGCTTTTTTTCCCCTCTTCTAAAGTATCGCATTGTCGAGGACAGTAGTTTGCACTATTACGGAATGAAAAAAACGCTTGTGTTGATTGCTTTTTGCCTCCTAATAAACGTCAAATTTATGGGGTCCGGACACAATGGGTGTTTCTGAGTCATGTTATATGAAAAAAAAACTGTTAAAGTACAGGCGAGCTGGTGGATATTTACCATGTTAGAACTTAACCCGACACGTTCTTGAGACGTTCTCTTCTTCACTTGTCTCTGTCCCTTCTAATTTTAAGTTTCTGTTTCTACCCCAGTCTCGGGTTAAGTTCCAACATGGTCATGTTATATGGTGACACCAAAGTAGCTGGTTTCAATGTAAGCCTGCGCGAGAGTAATGAAACATGTTGACTTTGGAAAAGCTATCGCAGTATTACTGCCGGGGAATTAATCTTCCGCATTTTATTTTCACAAAACCAGAGCGCAATAAGCGGGTGTTTTGACTGCCTTAGTCTCCCATTAAAGTACGTTTTCTCCCTCATTTTTGTTTTTTAATTACAAATCATCTTAGACACATCAGGCTCGAGAAAATATTAATTACATATGCATGTGTTAGAGAGTTGGACGAGCTTGTTGACGTAGATACTCATATAATGGAAGCTAAACAAAAGGAAAGGACGAGGACAGACATGTGCAGGTTTGTCTGTGCATGTCTGTCGCTCAGTTAACTTGCTCGCGACGACCAACGGACATTGATTTTTCTACGTGCTCTTCTCTCCAATCCCGACTTCAAGCTGAAAAAATAAAAAAAAAATAAAGTAAAGTTGTTGAAACCGACCACGGCGGACATGAACGCTGGATCCACAAAGCACTAACATGCGGGAAAAGCTACAGTGGCAACGATCCCCCCGACCAAGCGACCGTCAAGGCTCCGATGGACCCCGGCCAAGACCGTCTGTCCACGACCGGCTGACTTGCTGAATGGAATATGTCCGCGCGACCCTCGTGAACCCTTCCCGTTTTAATAATTGGATCGCTGATCTAATGTTTGATTAAGAGGTACATCTCTTCTTCTTGTCATCTTCTTGTTTTCCGAAGCAGCGGTGACGAACGCTGTCGTCGAAAGGGGACTTTTTCGATTCCATCTTCTTGTTTTGTGTAATAGACCCCTTTCGAAATACTGCCCTCTGTTGGCAGCTGTAGAATTCCTGCACAATGGCGGACTAAAACCGCAACGTCATGGTACACTTTATGCGTTTGGTGGGAGAACACACCCACAGAAAAGGTGATGAGCGCAGTGACGTTGCACTTTCGACGCTGTTTGATTGGCTCGTAGGCTCCTAGCGTTGGCCGCCCTTCGACGTTCGCTATCTTATGGAATGACTTGCTCTTTCCACGATGTCAGGTGTTCCGCCATTGTGCAGTGGCTCCGACCTTCCAGTAATCGGCACCGAATTTCGAAAGGGGTGTATACAGAGCTCATATAATTGCCGTATGGATTACCTTCGTAACACGGTATGTATACACTTTGTTATTAGGATGCCTTTTTTATTCCTACCGTGACGACGGTACGTCAACACAGTCGAGCTAGAACAGTTCCTGGGAGCTACGCGATGCCGGTCCAACATTTCTTTGCCGAAACGGTCCGGAAGCGCTTACCAAGACGCGGTCAACAGCGCGAATCCAGCACTTCGATCAAACGCGCGCGTTCACTTCGAGTCTGCACAGGTATTTACGTGGATGTTGATGACACACTCGTAGTTCAAACGTATATCTTCTTTAACGTCGGCTCGCTCCTGTACCTCCGAGGCCGCGAAAAACGCCGCAGCGATTCGTTTCTGTCTTCGCCGCTTTGCAAACGATCGACACGGGCCGTCTTCTTTTAGCAGCGATGGCGGCTGTGTTGACTTCGTAGCGATCGAGTTCGTAGCACTCGGCGAAGGCGGTTATCACGGCCTCGGCATTCGGGCCCGTTTAAATCGTGTTAGCGTCGACATTTCACTACACGGGTATGAAACCTTGACAAGCGTTGGCGGAAAGACCGCCTGCGTTTGTTATTCAAAATCCACCTGGTCAACCGTGCCGAGCTCTCCAATTGGTTGTTCGTGTTGTCGAAGACGCCGTCTCCATAGCAACAGCCCGCTCTCGCGGGGAGCGGGAGCTTGCGGTACATTGAAAGCCCTAGTTTTTCCGTAGGAGAACGTTCTCGCTTTCTTCCTCTCACTTAAGAACGCGTTCGTGAATACCGATTTCTCCTCTTCTTACGATGTTCTTATTAGCCGATTCACACGACGGACCGAATCGAAATTTTCGTCCGCGGACCGTTTACCACGTGACCGTCACGTCATCGATTCCTTCGAACTGCGCCTCATTCGCGAACGCACGGACAGATAAAGTCGAGCGCCTTTTCACTCGCCGATTTTTGGTGGGAGGTTGACGTCTTAAAAAGCGCTCAATCTGACAACTGTTCAATGTTTTCTTGTGATAGAACATGTGGACATTGTGATAGAACATGTAGAAAAGTAAAAAATATCTAGGTCAATGGTTAAATGAGGGAAGAAAATAACTGAATGAATATGAATATATTGTAATGAAGAAGGGGGAATATATTCGGCTATTATGAAAACAAAGCACTGTGTATTAATACACAGTTGTATATTAAGGAGTAATGATACCAGGGTTGACTTTCGGTAATGCGGTCTTGTGTATGAAATATGAAGTACAGTCAGGCTCAGAAGTACACGCCAAGAAAAAAATGGAGGAAAAAGGTAGCAACGGCGCATTTTCTTTTCTTCTACTGACGCGCCCCTAAGCGGACACGAGAAGAAGGGGGGAACGAGAGGTTCTTCCTTCTCCAGGGAGACGGGAGATAGCTTCCGCCCTCCCGACTCATGTTCTTTTGGTTTCGTTTTTTCGAGCACGTCGCAATCGTTGTTTAATAAAAGTTGTTGAGTTGATTGAGCTTCAGCGGCAACGAAGGCCGCCTGTAATTCCGTCTTCCAGTCCAAACGTGCAGAACATTTCGGTTACATTGACGTCTTTACCACTAGTTTTGTCAAACGAGCAAATGAAGCCGCTAGAAACAGCGAAGTTCCCGAGCAGTGCGAGCAGCACTACGTACAATGGCTAAGATAGCCATTTCCGGATTACGGAACCCATGCGGAACCATGCGGACCACGCGGAACGATGTGTCCACGTTGTATGTGTCGACGTTGACGACGTTATTAGCCCCCAGAGCGAGCACAAGCGTCGCTGCGGTCGCCGCGCCCTGATTGGGTGAGGTGTACCGTGACGTCAGGGGGAGTACTCCGCTCCGCGATCTCTCATCGGCTCGCTTCCTAGCACTGGTTTCCTGGTTTGGCGTTGTGTGCCGCAAACTCTTCGAGGAGCTAGACTTCGTTTACCTAGTGTGCAAGACGTTGAGTTAGGCCGATATTGACGTGCTTCCGTACATCTTATAAGCCTGCTTGTCCTTTTACCTTTAAAATTGCGTTACAAATCCCGAAAGCTATCGGCGGAGGCAATTCCGCCGATGAACCTCCCCGTCCCTCCACACGACACAAGGCAATCTTTCGAGGGGTCGGTGAAGCGGTGCCGCAATCGTTTCAGACGCTGAAATTCTGTTCCTTGCACGTTTATGATTTAATACGATATTACATCCCGCTTTCAAGGCATTTAAAGTGGCATTTATATCATGGGCCTTTGGGTGGTCGGCAAATTAGCTCGCGACCCTGACTCTGCGGTGCCACTCTGCATGCGCTGGTTCGCGGATGTTTTCTTTGAAGTGCTCGTGGAACAGGGTTGTTTTACATAAATGTAGCTTCTTCGTGAATTAATTGTATAGTTTATACACGTATGCAGGCATATTTCTTAGAAGCTGCACAATTACTGGAAATTAGTTTGTATGGCAGCAGCAAAAACGGCCGAATTGCCCCCAGTTGTCTGTATGATATGTATTGAACTGCAAAACTATGCACGGCAATAGTGCCGTAATATGGAATGTTTATACTTTTTCCTGACATTCTTTATTCCAGCCTATTCCGAAAATACACCGTTTAGTCTGAATTGTTATTTCCAATTAAAACAGACACTGCTGCAGGTCCCCAAAAGCTTCCTCAGCCTCCGAACTCCCTGCAGCTGGACTCTCTGACAACAGAGGAAAACAGGAGTAAAAGCAAGCATTCGAACGTCTGTCCAGTGGTAGATGCAGCACTAGCAGCAGAAAATTTAGAACCTGTGAAGGGCGACAGTCTGCGTGAGAAAAGTTTCTGGCATTTTAGCTTCAGGATAATTCGATTTAAGTAAAATCTCAATTTTAGGGCTGAACGGACTAATAACGAGCTAGACACCTTCGCTTACGTTTGTTATACATTACTTGAGGGTTGATATAAACAAGTCCACAGATACCACCCGTGTAGTCCATTGAAATACTATCCGAATCCAGCAAAGGTCAAATGCAAGCACTGTATGTAATAAATGTTCCTTTTTTTTTTTTTTTTTTTTTTTTACTTTTCCCCTGCACTTGGGCTGTCTTACTTGTGATTTTTTCTTGATGGCCCAGACTGTATTTAACATGTTGCTCGAGCAGCAAGCAGCTTTTCTGCTTCGGCGATTTTGTTTAAAAACAGAGATAAAAAAAATAGTATGCATAATCTGCCAATTAATTCAGACCATCAGCAGCATTTATTGTGCGAGATGTAAATCTATAGTGACGCTCTTGCAATTGTAGCCATATTTCTTTATTTTCCTATACCAGCTGTGATTCATCTGTTGCCTGCCCTGTCAACCATGTTTAAAATGTTGGTTGAAGCTTCGCCTGTAGCTGCAGGCCGTACCTCAATAAAGGTTCATATAAAAATTTACACTTCCTAGGAAAAAAAACGCCAAAAAAAATTAAATAGAAACGAGCGCGCCGTCAGCTAGCGTCGTCACAGCCTCCACAGGACGAGCGGGCCGAGTCGGGGTAGGTAGGTAGTAAACGTTTATTGGAAGAAACATTCGAACGGTCGCCCTAGGCGTGGTTCGAGGAGGGAACAGGTTCTGAGGAAGTCTTTGACGTGAAGGAACGGTCGTGCTCAGAACGTCGACTCCAGGCCCGTGTTTTCTAAGTACAGGAGCAATGAGTCCAGGATCAGTGCGATTCTGGCCGAG